TTAACAGCCACACAGAAATTGAAAAATATCTGTCCAGCTAAACGAACGACAACTAATCGTTACATTTCAACCGCGTGAATAAGGAGAAAGCTAGTTGGCAATGAAAGTCCGAAGTTAAACAATTATCTTGATGCTTTTCGAAGATACGTAAGTACATACGTGCAAAGCGTAACCTGAAATTTAGTTCAAAATTGCCGGCCAGAATGTAAAAGGTTCAAGCAAATGCGACCTACTAATGATATAACGCTTCTGAATTTTTATCGCTCGCTCTATTATTATGTAACGCATCATAATTCGCCATAAACCGAAAGGCAAACGTGAAAGAGATGTGAAAGACACAGTGCGAACAGATCAGAAACTGGACGAAACGATAGATGACGAGTTATATCACAGGGGGATGACAAATAACAAGTGTGCAGCATGAAATAACAAGTGTCTCGCGAGAATGGGAATGTGATAGAATGGGAATTGTATTGCATAATTATGGAAATAGAACTCCATTTATTCGGACGAAATTAGCTACATAAATTAGTGTTAGTAAAGAATTCTTTTTATTGATTAATGAATGTCAATTCGTTCTTTACCGAACTCTTATTATTTTACTATTAAATGTAATTTGGATCGTTCTCAACTAGCGTTAAAAGAATTACAGTTATTAGAACAAAATTATTAGATACATAGATTAGTAAAGAATACTTTTATTAATTCATTCTTTATCGACTTTCTGTCACAGTTTCTGGTATTAGATCGTGACTGGATCGAAGAGATCGAAGAGAAATCGAAGGAAATACAAAGCAAAGAATGTCACGAATTCAACTAATAGTACTCATACATTAGTCATATTTTAAACAAATGATTAAAAAAAAATCATACCTATATCGTCTGTCATCGTTACCATCCAAACAGCTGTAACCTTTCAAAGAACTCATGATCATTACTTCTTTTCAGAATAAATGCCACCAATGATGTTCTCGTACGCCCATCACTACTCTTCAGTAATATCAGAGTAATTGGAATGGAAGAGATAAATCAAACAGCTGCACTAATAATTTTGTACGGAACATTGCCATTATTATTGCAAACTGTGTCACTA